ATACTGAGTACATTATGTAAAAGACTTACCTATACGCATTAAACTAAAAGTATTCTAGTCTAGCGTTTAGTTTGTGCTCCATCTGACAGACATAAGAATGACATGAACATATCAACTAAACCAACCTGACTTATAATTTTGGTATAAATTCCCATGACCACTACACTTCCTTCACCATGTGATGTTTACATTAATTTTATATGATTGAAAATATAATTTATAGAGAAGACTTTTACGGATCGAACAACTTGTACTACTACTTTCTAAGTACAAGTTGTTCGACCCGTATGTCAGTATAACAAAAGCTTTAATATGTCGCACATTATTATTTCTTTAAATTTTTTAATACATATTAATTTTAAAATATATTACAAGTTTCTAATTACAAAAACATCTTGTTGTCTAGCAAACATTACAACAAATATGTACCAATTAACAGTTTCACACCCACCAAAGCAAATTTTTTTTCTTCATAACAGAAATTTCATTATGAAAAATTACTGAACGTGACTAGTTTATGACTTAATGCACACTCAATAACTGAACCTGAAGCATCATTTGATTTTTTCATTAATTTTTTTTTTATATTTCTATACTTCTTATTTATAGGAGTACTGAACTCAATGCCTCCACACATACTTAGATTATCGTTAAACTATTTCCAGTGTTTATTGTGTTTTACGTGAGTTTTTACTTTGTATTTTTTGTTGTTGGTGTAATATTAATAGTTGCTCTTTACACTTGAGCGATTAATTTGCGCTAACAGCAGTTGCCACTTGTCCACAACCCAAATCATTTGATCGATTTGACTTAAAGTGCCGCAACGGCATTGAGTAATTTGGCGCCCGAATACCGCAAAACCTACAGAACGGATTAGAAAACCATTACATTTTTGCTTAATCACAGCTGTCGAATGGGCCCTTTGCATTTTCACGCCGCTATTGCATAACAGACGTAGTTTTTTGCTTACACTTACATTCGAACTCGCAGGCACATGTGATCATGTGATTAAAGTGTTGTTTGTCGATTTTTCTTAAAGTCATGTTGCAACCAAATTAATGATTTGCTAAAATTCCTAGTTATTTTACGTTACATATAGTGTTTACTAAATTAATAAGTTGTAGAGTGTGTGTGTAAATAAGTTTTATGTGGGAAATGTTTGTGAAGTGAAGGTTCTCAAATGTTCTAAAAATAGTATTCGAGTAGGAATATTTGTAATATTATAAGTCTATATGCAAATGTGTATATTTATATATACAGCTAAAATCTCACAGTTTGGTAGTATTGACTTGGACTGGTCCATTTAAATTTTTTCTTAGATTGGTACCACCTTTTTTATGTTCGTGTGCAGTTTGATCCCCATATGTCAATTAGTGTGTGTTTTGCAGCTGTTTGTTTACGACGTGAAGAGTTTGTCTGGCGATTTTTGTCATAAAAAAAAAAATATTGAACAACGAGTTTGCTTAAAATTTGGTGTTTTCGATGAAATCACAGTTACGGAAAATGTTGCAGCAGTATTTTAAGGGGTCTACTTTATCACGAAAACAAGTATTTGAGTGGCACAAAGTATTCAGTGCAGGTCGTGAAGTCATCGAAAACCGTCCATACACCGCTGTTCATGACGATAACATCTAAAAAGGCAGAGAAAGAGTGCTCAAAAATCGTCGTGTTAGCATCGGAGAGATAGCAGAGGATCTCAACATCACTTATGGAGCTATTCAATACATATATTGGGTATGAAGCGTGAGAAAAAGAGATACTAGACAACGTAGCTGAGGACTCTACCTTCATCACCGGTGTCGAGACGTCTTTCTTTAACTGTCCAAAATTCGTTGAATGCAATAAAGGTCGAGGCTCATAACAAGTGGCATACTTGTATTGGTTTTGGAGACTGTTTTGAAAGCGATGATAAAGATTTGTATTAAAATAAGTGAAAATAAAGTTTTTTTTCAGTCCAGCTCAAAGATTATTTAGTTTATTTTAAAAAATAAAAGAAAAAATATAATTGTATATAAAAGTTGTAAGAAATAAACACTGCTGGAATACAAGAGCTTTATAAAATTATAAAAATACGATTTCTGAGATATTTGAGCTACAACTTTCGAAGTTAAAAAACACAAATTCTACGCAAAAATAGTACGGTAAAAGTCCAAAGTTTTGTTTTTCTTGCACTTCACAATTGCAACACACTGTTAACACATTGCATATTCAGCATTTTTTTCTTTGAATTTCAAGAACTCTTACTGCATTATGTATGCATTTGTATTCAAATTTCTCTGGTTATATAAAGCGTAGGCTACCTCCATATTCTGTGTTTTGCGTATTCTATACTTACGACAATGCTGCCACCTAATTTATGCGCTTATGTTAGTGGCGTTTTCTTTAACCTTTTCCAATTCTTAATTAATTCATTAATTCCAAATACAAGTATATACACACCATATTGCAAAACACAGCTCAAGGGCTTACATATATATGTATAAGCACAGTTACCTTCAACGGAATATAAATATACATATGCATATATTTGGTGTAGGTAAATAGCCACGTGATTTTGTCAACGTATTTTGAAAAGAAAGACACCGCACGAAGACCTTTAAATCATCGCCAAAAATGGTGTTTGCTGCGCGAGTCTCATAAAGAAGCTGAGTAGTAGCATTGACTTGTAGAAAATAAAACTTGCTCGAACTCACCTTGACTTTGCCGGTTTTTATTTAATTTATTTTATTGAACGTTTATCGATCACAGTAGCATATAGACTTATACATATATACTTAGGTATAAATAATATGTATTTGCTATTGTGTTAATCACTCTGCTTTAATAAAATTTAGCTTTATAAAATCAAAGCTTTATGCAAATTCCGCAGAGAGTAGGTCTAGCAGCTGACTAACCCTGAAATTATTATATTTTGCCTCTTAATGCATACATTTAGTTTTCTTTTCAAGAATTCTTCCCAGAATTTAATTTTTCTAGCTTTAAAATTGGTATTGATTTATTTGATCGTAATGTTGATAGAATTTAAGTGGCCACATTATTTTTAGTCACATACATATTACAATTCATTTACATTAAGTTCATGTTATACCCAGCAGAACGTCGACATGTAGAACAATTTATTTAACAAAAAGCAAAATGTTAACATATTTGTTTTTAAGGGAAAATTCTCTGAAAAGCACAAAACTAAATATAGATTGGCAGCAATTTTAATGTGTGGCATATATTGTTTGTTTCGCTACTCTCTAATGGTTGACGAATCGAAGACAACTTATATTGCTGAGCTGATTCACAAAAGAGTATATTTTGAATTCGAGTCCGCGGTAATAAGAATATTAAATGTACTGTATATCTTTAACAGGATGTTACCCTATAATGATAATCAAAGAATTACAACAACTATTTTACTTAATTATCGTAAACTGTTCCATTTAATCACAAATCGATGTCATTTGTAATATATAACCATAAATATTTGTGTATGCTTACTGATCTTCAATACATATAATGTGAAATTTAATATTCTAAAATCTTCAACTCTTTCTTTGTCTCTTAAATAATTTGTGCTTAGTGTTTTTGTTTGTGCCTTGCCAACCTTCTATTTAAATTCTCAATGCATTTTGTTAAATTATAAATAGCTTTGTTTTTACAATAGTCTATAATTTATTTACCGTTGGAATCAGCGACACATACAAATTCACGTATTTACTACATAAATACTAAGTAGACGTATGTATGTTAGCTTGCAAAGATACCAATTAACACCTTCCGATTTGTTTTAAACACATATTGGCAAACAGTTAGAAACAAAACACAAATCTATGTAGATATATAACATTTAATATGGCGAAGCGAAAATTTGAGCTACAAGAAAGTTATTTGTTTTTTTAAATTTCGACGTAGGAAACTTTACAGAGGCACTCTGTATATAATTTTTTGTTTGTAGTTAATCATGATTCAATTATATAAAGTTGTATCGATACAGAGCGTGCTTCTTCTTGCGAAAAAGTATTTTAATCCATGATGTCAAAATCAGCTGTTTTTTGTTTTTGTCATGATATTATTGTTTGCATTTTGATGATTTTGTGTAATTTATAATTTATTCGTATTCAGTTATCACCCAAAAAACGCATTTGCATTGCTTGAAATCTTTGAAAAATTCATTTTTTAGTCATAAAATCAAAACATAATAAAGCAAAACGGCTGATTTTGACATTATTGATGTAAACACTGTTGACATATTGTTGTTTTTGAGCTATGGACACAACCTTATATAATTGAATCATGTTAGTTAATAAAGAAAATATTGAAAACCCGCCAAGAATATCAAATAGTGGGGACTTAAGTTGCCCTATCTCCCCTTTATGAAATTAAAAAACAAAAATCACCTTTTTTTCACTAAATTTTTTTATTTTTAGCGACTTTTATCACATATTTATGGAAAAAAAATGAAAAAAAAAAATATTTTTGTGTTTTCAAAAAATATTAATGTGGAAATTTTTATATAATCTCTCTCTCTCTCTTTTTAATTGTTCTTACATGGGTCGTGGTGTCCGGAATTTTTTTTGTTGTATTAAGTGTTGTTTTTTAGTTTGTTATATACATATATTATATGTTTTATTTAATATTATATAATTTTTTAAAATACCATAATATACACGAAATACGTGAAAAATATTTTTCACATTTTAATGATGAATTATAACATGCATTCGCACTTTTTTTTTTAATTGATTATTTTATATAATTTTTAATATGGTTTAACCGTTACTAATAAACATCGCATTATAAATATTTTGTTTTTCTATAAAAGAAGATGACACTTATTATTTTCGTTGCGTTTAGCTCCACATGCCAAGACATTGTAACAGCAACACCTTATCCAAGTCAATATTGGTCGAAAAACATACATGGTTCATATAGAAACATACATACATACATATAAAATTAATTAAAAACATATATAGAAATGCAAACACTACGTAATCATCACATTAACTAACCAGTTCGTTCCGTGTAGCATTGACCATATGCACGCGTAAAAATCGAATCAATATTACTCTGTATATCTATTTAACCAATTGGCTGCCAAACCGACCATTCGACCACTTGTCTGGCGTATGGACACTGCACTTCACGCACTTGACCACGTCTACTACTATACATAGGTACGCATGCGCACACGCACTCAACCTGATTCGGCACTAAGTTGCTTTTGTTATTTACTTTTCGCTTGAAACTCGCTCGGACCGGCGCGTACAAGTCAGCTGTGCGCGAATTGGCGCTCTGCTTTGTTGCTGTTTAACACTTTTTGTTAAAATTAATTTTATCTTTTATTAATTGATTTTTTATTATTATTTGTTTCTTACTTATTCACTTCGCCACAATGTTCACTTTCGAATGTCGATTTTAAAGCGATTGATTTGCGCGCGCCATCCACTGATCGCCCATCCAACGACTCGCTCGAGTCAACGTACGTTTGCGTTATGAACAATGCTGAGACAACAGCAAAATGTTGCTGACTTTTGCGTTGCCACTGCGATCGTCGTGACTTTGAAGTTGATCGCTGTTGTTGTGGTTGTTGTTATTTCGCCTTGAGCACGAAATTATGCTGAGCTCAGAAATTGAGTGTGATGAGTGTATTTAGCAGCAGCGTTGCCATATTAAAATTGAAAGTAAAATATTTATAATTTTTAATATTATTTAAAATTACAAAAATAAAATCATTATCTTCAGAAATTTTTAAAAAAAAAATAAAAAAAAAGTTCCTGATTTTTTGAAATGAAGTCTTAAATTACCAAATAACTTATTGATTTACTTTCCTTTTTTCAAATATTCATTCATTTTATTTTCATACATATACTTTGTTGGAAAATCATAATTTTTAACTTATATATGGAAAAAACTAACCTTCTTACACAAAATATTATTCAAACTTACGCATTAATTTTATTAATTTTCTGAGCAGGTTTAATTTTTTTCATAAACTTACTTTTTCTATCTTTCTAGATTTTACTATTTCAATTCATAAAAAAATTCTTAAAACTTACAAAAACATTTACGGTCTTGTCTGCAATAGTTCGCACAATTCCTGATTTGAGTCTCAGATATCATCTAATGTTCACGGTTACTAATTCCCATAATTTCCCTTCTAAAATTTTTAGCAACACTTTGTAAAATAGAGCTGTCATTGAACCCTGTTATTTAAAAACTTTTCGTAAGTTGATAAACCGTGTAATTGTGCCAAATTATGTGATTCTGGACTAGTCGCTAGAGTAGTATAATATATTTTAATAAATAAATAATACACCAGTTTATACATATCGAGAATTTGATAAGATTTATTTTAAACAGTTTTAACTAAAGTACGAAATATCCTCGAAAAATTAAAAATAAAATTTTAAATAATAATTAAGTGACAACACTGTCCATTTTACAGCTGATTTTAAACGCCACGACACGCATACGTCACGCTGCACCACCTGAGCTGCCATCACATCTAAGCTATTTAGTAATCAACCAGCGTCAACCCATTTAATACATTTATACATACCTGTAGCCCAACGTTTCCGCTGCGTCTCGGCGTTTGTTTACTTTCATCGCTGTTGTTGGTTTTGTTTCGCTGTCCATACAATTTTCAGTTTCTGCTATCATTACTCATTAGTACTTAGTCAAATTAGCATATCTTTGCATAATTTTCCTTTTGCCGGGTTGTCTTCACCAACGTTCACTATTTCTCTTGCCCTGTCTTCGATTTACTCGCCGCTACGCTATCATTCGAAGGTGTAAAACATGTTGAAATGCATGTTGAATTCGATAATCGTTGATATTAATTGAAACCTTGATATTTGCATGCATCTAAACCAACTAAAGTTCGTACAATCAACTCAACAAATTGGTTGTTTTTGCCGAGAAATAAACTTATAAGAGTCTCGAGCAGCGCTAAAGCGCTTGGAACCATCACAGTTCTGCTTAAGTGTTTCATTTCTATTCCAGCTAGCTCACCTGAATGTCGAGAGGTGTGAAATTCAAAACATTTTATGCTTGATCTTGCAAAGGCGGGAAAATAAATGATGAAGTTTTAAGACGATTTTTCGGAAGGTGAATAGCTCACCAGACCTTTTGTGTTTTACTTCAGGCCAGAAGGATCTTGCGACTGCGTGAGCACTAGTATTTGACTACAGCTCATCCAACTCATGTAGACCCAAGCAACGAGTAATAAAACACACGAAGGCAGCGGAGTTCTAAGCCGTTACTATTCTTCATATAGTGGAGCTCATTAGCTCTACAATTACCTGTGAACGCACATTCAGTGAACTCAAGGCTAGTGTCGCCGTCTTGCTGTCAGAGTGTAAAGTCACTTCTTTGAAGGAAGCTGTGCTGCGGAGCAGTAGCTTTACTGTTTCCATGCATTATGGAACTTCAATTTCTGGTTAAAAAATAATTCATTAAGGTTTAGTTGAGTCCAGTGTTCCCAAAATCCATACCCAAAAATCGTTATAGCTACATTGGCTATAGCAACCAAATTCTCCGCTGTGCAGAATTTTCGGCGTTTGACCATTTTGATTATTTTTTAAATATTATTTGGGATTTCATCTTTGCACCATTGAATCGTTATACTTTAATCAGAATAATATATATATCAATATGTGTCACTGCAGCTCCCAAACTGTTGATTTAATAACATATAATTAAAATTGCTTAAGCGTGAACAAAATAGATCAAATTAACGGCCATATTTTATAAGAATATATTTTTTTTATTAATTTTATTTTTGATGTAATATTCCAATTCCAACACATTTAAATAATATAATTTGGATTTTAATCATACGAATATTCAATTTCAAATTACTGCTTAACTCAACTTTAAAGTTGTTTCAATTATGGTCAACTTCTGCATCATATTACTGATTATTATATATTTCTTACTATGCGTTTTCAAAAGTAGTCATAATTCAACACTAACCTTGAAAATTCTATAGAAAGAGTATTTATTAAAAAGTTCACGTAAATCAAATTGAGTTATTCCTTCAATAGTAACCTAATTAGGAAATCCAAAATGTTGCCCAAACTCTTGAACTTGCACCAAATGCGATTAACTTTTCTGATGCCATCAAAGAAATCGTAATAATTGAACTGCTGGCATATGAAAAATGCATCAAAATTCAAGGGAGTCGAAAAAAGTGGGTCATAACTTTCCATTTCTGAACTCTGCTAAATTTGAGTTCTCCCTCAACAAATTGTTTGCAAATTTGTTGCCACTTAGCTGATATCCCACACAAACCCACCGCCATAAACTATAAGCTATTTGGCTGAGTTGACTTGTGCTGCTTGTTTACAACATTCAATTTACAATGGCTGCAATCAATTTGCAATCCATTTAAATTTCTACTTAGATGGTACACCTTTTTATGTTTCGTGTTGTTTGATCTCCGATAATATGTCAAGTGTGTGTTTTGCAGCTGTTTTGTTTTACGAACGAGAAGAGTTTGTCTGCGATTTTTGTCATAAAAAAAAAAATATTGAACAACGAGTTTTTGTGAAAATTTTGGTGTTCCTCGATGAAATCAACAGTTACTGGAAAATGTTGCAGCAGTGAATTTTAAGGGTCTACTTGATCACGAAACAAGTATTTGAGTGGCACAAAGTATTCAGTGAGGTCGTGAAGTCATGCAAACCGTCCATACCGGCTGTTCATGACGATAACATCGAAAAAGTCAGAGAAACCGAGTGCTCAAACAAAATCGTCGTGTTAGCATCGGAGAGATAGCAGAGGATCTCAACAATCACTTATGGAGCTTTCAATACATATATTGGGTATGAAGCGTGAGCGTCTCTACCTTCATACCGGTGTCGAGACTCTTCTTTATGAATATGAATATGAAATATGACGTCGGAACTGTCCAAAATTCGTTGAATGCAAAATAAGGTGAGCTCATAACAAAGTGCATACTTGTATTGGTTTTGGAGACTGTTTGAAAGCGATGATAAGATTGAATTAAAATAAGTGAAAATAAAGTTTTTTCAGTCCAGCTCAAAGATATTTAGTTTATTTAAAAAATAAAGAAAAATATAATTGTATAGTAAAAAGTTGTAAGAAATGAACACTGCTGGAATACAAGAGCTTTAATAAAATATAAAATACGATTTCGAGACATTTGAGCTACAACTTTCGAAGTTAAAAAACACAAATCTACGCAAAAAATGTACGGTAAAAGTCAAGTTTTGTTTTCTTGCACTTCACAATTGCAACCACTGAACACTTCACATTTTCTTTGAATTCAAGAACTCTACTGCATAAGTATGTATTTGTATCAAATTTCTCTGGTTATATAAAGCGTAGGCTACTCCCATATTCTGTGTTTGCGTATTCTATACTCGACAATGCTGCCACCTAATTATGCGCTATGTTAGTGGCGTTTTCTTTAACCTTTCCAATTCTTATTAATCATTAATTCCAAATAAAAGTATATACACACCATATTGCTAAAACACAGCTCAAGGCTTACATATATATGTATAAGCACAGTTACCTCAAACGAATATAAATACATAGCATATATTTGGTGTAGGTAAAAGCCGTGATTTGTCAACGTATTTTGAAAAGAAAGAACGAAAGACCTTAAACATCGCCAAAAATGGGTTTGCTGCGCGAGTCTCATAAAGAAGCTGGTAGTAGCATTGATTGGGTAAAAATAAAACTGCTCGAACTCACCTTGACTTTGCCGGTTTTTATTTAATTTAAATTTTATTGAACGTTTATCGATCACAGTAGCATATAGACTATACATATATATAGCTATAAATAATATGTATTTGCTATTGTGTTAATCACTCTGCTTTAATAAAATTTAGCTTATAAATCAAGCTTTATGCAAATCCGCAAGAGAGTAGGTCTAGCAGCTGACTAACCCTGAAATTATTATATTTGCCTCTAATGCATACATTTAGTTTTCTTTTCAGAAATTCTCCCCAGAATTTAATTTTCTAGCTTTAAAAATTGGTATTGATTTATTTGATCATAATGTTGATAGAATTTAAGTGGCCCAATTATTTTAGTCACATACATATTACAATTCATTTACATTAAGTTCATGTTAATCCAAGCAGAACGTCGACATCTAGAACAATTTATTTAACAAAAAAGCAAAATGTAACATATTGTTTTTTAAAGGAAAAATCTCTGAAAGCACAAAACTAAATATAGATTGGCAGCAATTTTATGTGTGGCATATATTGTGTTTGCTACTCTCTAATGCTTGACAGAATCGAAGACAACTTATATTGCTGAGCTGATTCACAAAAGAGTAATATTTGAATTCGAGTCCGCGGTAATAAGAATATTAAATGTACTGTATATCTTTAACAGGATGTTACCTCTAAATGAGTCAAAGAATTACCAACAACTATTTACTTATTATGTAAACTGTTCCATTTAATCACAAATCGATGTCATTTTAAAATATAACCATAATATTTTGTCATGCTTACTGATCTTCAATACATAAATGAAATTATATTCTAAAATCTTCAACTCTTTCTTTGTCTCT